CCTGGGAAGTGTTGTTTTGTGAGACATTTAGGTTTCACTGTGCCACAATAAACTATAACTCCCAAGTTTCCCTAGCACTGAGCCAGGACAGTTAAAGCGGTGTCAAACTGGATTATTTCTGCAGTGTGTTTGGGGCTGGAATATACCTACCCAAACCTTAGGATCCACTCACAACCTCTTGCGCCAAGCATCTCCACCAAACTTGTAAGTGGCTCAGAGATAGTAAAACAACCTCCCCAGAGATGCTCACCTGGGCCTCTCTTTATGGCAATCTCCTTTTCTTATCCCAAGCTTTTAAAATCTGTGATCTTCAAATTGGCATTGTTATTCCGGCATCACATGTATTTTTATAGTTATGTATTTCATTTCAAGACTATCTCTGCTGGTTTGTTCTTATACGGCAGCTCTTTTTAATATATATATTTTAATACGATGTATTTTATTGCACCTTGGCGCGCTGCTCCGGGAACGATGCTATTGAAAGGCTGACACCAAGGTTGCGTATAAACTAACTAAAATTACCTCTGCCTTATTTACCACTGTGTTCTCTTTTGGGCTATATTTGTTTTTAGGTGAATATGATTCTGCGTGAGAGAACATAACCATTTTCTGTTGAAAACAAAACAAAAATGAATTACAGTAATTCTATTTTAATCCCCTAGTTCTATTCTAATGCTCACTTCTGTAAGTTTTTAATTGCACTGTTCTTTTAAATTGTAAGCCGTTATGAGTCCCAATTTTGGGGAAAAGCAGGCTTTGAATATAAATATAAATAGAATATATAATATTCTTATTATATAAGAATATAATTATATAATAAGAAATTATATAATAATAATTATTCTCCGAAGAGGACAGCCACAGATGCAGGTGAAACATCAGGAATAAACTCTCCCAGAATGTGGCCATATAGCCCAGAAAACCCACAGAAAACTATTATTATTATTATTATTATTATTATTATTATTATTATTATTCAACTCAAATTAGGATTTGTCTGTTCCTGTAAGAAACTATTGTATACAACTACGATGTGTTTTATTGTAACTTTGTGCTGGCTGAATGGCCATAATAAAGAAATTGAATAGAATAATAATAATAATAATAATAATAATAGCCAGCAGTTTCAAATGGTCCTTATTAGTCCCCTGGCATTTAGGAGGGGGACAAACTTATTTTTGTAAGGATATTTTTGCAAATATCTGCTTAACAAATCTGTTTTTACCCCCATCGCCGGCCTCTCTGACTTTTGAGAGTTTTCTTTCTCTTCTTTCCATCAGTGACAAGGACTGATGTGCTCATACAAGGAGACTCCAAGAATGTAAACTATATTTGAGTGATATTTAATTTTTATTCAACAAATTAAACAGAAGCGGCCAATGGAATAGCTCCAAAATCACAAAAAATGTGGCCTTTATTGAACTATGCGTTGCAATATTTCCTACCCACTTCAGCTCTGGAAAAATACAAAATCTTCAGCTTGGGATGGAGAGAGTGGAGGTCTTGGATTGGAACATATGTGACTCTTTCCTTTTTTGAGTAAAATAAAACCCCTTATGAAAAGCATTAGCAAAATGTTATTATGTAACCTGTGCTGTTCCTTTTTTTGCAGTTTGCTGGAAGGAAGATAAAGGATGATATTGCTTATTAGAATATTTTATTTGTTTTGCTGGTGTGCAAATGTTTGCGTTGCACCAAATTCCTCATCTAACAACAGGCAAATATCAACATCTGCAACAGCACTAGAAGTTATTACATACTGATGCAATTGTTTCAGCTTCCAAAGCAAGCCACAGACCAAAATCAATAGGAGGCATATAGCGTTTTAAAGGATCAGGGTGCTTCAAATGCATTATCATAACATTCAGATCTGAAAATTTGAGCCTACCTTGAGACTTATGAGAGATTGTGGATGACAGCGTGACCCGGGGCTTAGCAACTATAAAATCCTCAATTACTTCTTTTTCTCACTTTCTGCTTTCATTCCATTTTTCCAGCTGAATTCATTGCAATCCCTTCCAATTTCTCATGGATACTTGAGTCATTGAAAGCCAGCGTGGCATAATGGTTAGAGCACTGACTATGACTCTGAAGACCAGGGTTTGAATCCCGACTCGGCCATGGAAACCTATTTGAGTAAGTCACACTCTCTCAGCCTCCGAAGATGGCAATGGCAAACCCTCTCTGGAGAAACCTGTCAAGAAAACCCTGTGATAGGTTCGCCGTAACTCGGAAAGGACTTGAAGGCACACAACAACAACAAACTTTAGTCATTAGATGCTGGGACTCGGTTCCGTATGGAAGTCATTTATTTCCACCTGCAAAGCCTAGACCTTGGTAGGGTTGCCAATGGGGCTCCCATGCCTTTAATGGTTGTGCAGAAGAAGAGGAAAACTTCAGTAGGTATTGCTTGCGTTACTTGGTTCTTGACAAGCAACACCTACTGGAGTTTCCACTTCAACCGAAACATTAAAGGTCCAAGAGCCCGCTCCAGTTTTAAATCTGGCAACCCTAATAAGTTGGCATTGCCAGAAGAGATTGTTTCCTTAATACTATTTTTTCCTAAACTTAAATTTTGAAAGAAGTGGCTGTGCTAATGTAGTAGCACCTTTAAGACTAATTGGTTTTTATTTTAGCATGAACTTTTGTGGATATAAACCCACTTCTTCAGATGCAATACAAAAGTGGGTTTATATCCACAAAAACCCATGCTAAAATAAAACCCAGCTAATTTTGAAGGTGTTGATGCATTCCTTCTCCCCCCCCCCCCCCCCCCCGCCTTCCTTTTTATCCTAAACCTTTATCTTAAAGGTTTCGGATCTGTAACAGGAGGCATTCCACTAAAGGATATTGTACATTCATTCTGAATCCATTTCCCTACCTCTTGGGATCCCCTTTGTAACTCCACAACAAAGCTGACATTTCCAAACCCGAGTCTGTAAATAGATGCAAAAGCGTTGGCAATTTTGTCATCTTCTTTAAAGACCAGTCATTTTATTAATGTGTTTATGTGCCTTTTTCTCTTTTCTCATTCACTTTCCCAAGGGTGTTTCCTATACTCTCGCGTGACATTTGCTCCTAGCAGCATTCAGGCCTCCAAATAACACCCCCTTGACTTTATTTTCTGACTACGGAATGAGAAACCTTTAACCCCACAACGGAGTGGGAGACTTTTATTATTAGACTCAAATCAGTGATCATGAAGAATGCACAGAAGAACTCCCATTTCAATACAAAGTACAAGGCCCATGCCTCCAACCTTTCAGGGATGAAAAGTGGGACATATGTGGCCAAGCAACAGCAGAACGTGGCCAAAATGGCAAAAATTATTAATGAGGAAGAACGGACAAGCTAGGAAGGACTGCAGCAGTTTGCTTTTGCCTGAGCCTACTGGGA